ATATAAAATATATTTTTTTCATATATACAGAATATTCATAATTAATATATATATATATATAAAATGTGTTTCAGAAAACTTAAACGAGTGCTTAAAAGAGATAAGGATTTTACATCATGTCAAAGAAGATTATTTGTTTGTTTGATGTGGATGGCACACTCACCATACCACAGCAGGTATTATATTATTTATCTACCTAAAAAGCTAATTTTTAATGATATTAAATTTCTTAGATATTACTATGTTATTATATTTTTTTATTTATCCTGTATCTTTATCTATCTATTGATTAAAAATATTTATTTTTATTTTCTATAGCCAATCAGTCCTAGCTTTGAAAAGTTTCTCCTAGAAACTGTAAAGAAAGAGTTTGACATTGCAGTAATCGGAGGTTCTGATTTAAACAAGATTCAAAAACAGCTAGGTAGTGGAAACCTCTTTGAAAAGTATAAGTATGTCTTTGCGGAAAATGGCCTTATCGCTTTCAAGAATGGCAAAGCTTTGCCTTCACAAGTAAGTAATAAAACAGTATTTAAAGGTAACAACAGATTATGTACCTTCTCTTTTAACATACAAATTTTAGATGATTCAAGATATACTTGGGGAGGATTCTCTGCAGGATTTTATAAATTTCACTTTGCGATATATATCCGAGCTAAAGCTGCCATTTAAGCGTGGAACATTTATCGAATTCCGTACAGGCATGTTGAACATTTCGCCAGTAGGACGAAATTGCAGCAAGAAAGAACGCGAACAATTTCATGAATATGACAATGAACATCATATTCGGGAAAAATTTATACAAGTTCTGAAAAAGGAGTTTCCTGATTTGGGTCTAACTTATAGTATCGGTAAGTGACATGGAAATAATTATATTTATTATAACAATTAATTAAATCGATCATACAGTGTAATATATATAAAATTTTAATATAATAAATTAACATTTCTTAAATTATTTCAAAATATTAATTGTTTATATTTTATTACTAGAAATATTTTGTGTATTTCTACCATATTATATAAATTAATGTCAAAAATATAATGTATTGTTGTAAATATTATAGCAAGCAAATTTCTTTATATTTTTTTCCAAGGGGGACAAATCTCTTTTGACGTTTATCCTATCGGTTGCGATAAAACGTATTGCTTGCGTCATATTCAAGGATATGATGAAATACACTTCTTTGGTGACAAAACAGCCGAAGGTGGTAATGATTATGAGATTTATGAGAGCGATCTGACAATAGGACACCGCGTCACTTGTCCCAAGGACACCATGAACCAATTGAATATCCTTATAACTCTTATAAAAGAGAACAGAGAGAAAGAGCAACTCAATGTTCCATTGCAATGTGTATAATAAGGCCTACAGTAATTTTCTAAATTGACATAAATTTATATTTTTAATTAGTATATATATGTTATTGTACAATAGATTGGTTTCGTTCTTTATTTTCCATTTTTTATCAATTGTTACATTCCTAACGGTGGAAGTGCAGTATTTGTAACTCTATAGTTTCGAAGAAAAATTTTTCAGCACTAATTCTAAGCACAACTGTTTTCATGCACACTTAAAAATATATTTGTACATATGCTCTTTTCTAATAGTTTTTCACTATCTTGATATACACGCAAGTCATAAATGTTAAATAAAAATGTTATTGACATTATGAATATAGTTTATTTTTTATTTGAAACAAATTCTACTCTCATAGTCTCTTAGTCTTGTGCATACACGACCGTGCACGATTACATCTACACATCCATATGTACATATATATTAAAACATATAAATTAAACGATAATAAGAAAAATAACAACGTTAATAAGAAAAATTACGGTATTCATTGGAAGACAACAGTATGACGTAGAATGTTTTTTTCCGCTGCTGACAAAGTATAAAAGCATTTTATTAGCATATGCAAACGAGCAAAGTTAATGCTGCAACAGCTGTTGCAATTTGAATAATCTTTTGGTATTAATTTCTTACCATTGTAGGTAACTTCCGTTTTACAATGCGCGTAAATGCATTTCTATAAAATAAGAATATATATATATATATATTAAAATTAATATATGTATATACATACATATGCGTATCACTTAACAGACGTTAATACGTATAATTTGCGATATAAAATGCATATAAAATATTCTCAAAATATTCTTATGAATTAAGTGCTTGTTATGGCACCGTGAATTTTTACGCTCCTTGGTAGATAGGAACGCGCTTCGCCACGAAAGCGGCGAGTCCTTCGATTCTATCCTTCGTATTCATAAGCTTGCTGTAGCATTGTTCCTCGATCTCCATACCGTCTTCCTGAGAGACCTCCATACCTTTAGATATCGCTACTTTCGCCAATCTAAATGATACATATAGCATAAGATTA